TTTTCAGTTCTTCAAGGTCAGATATTTTTGTTGTTGTGCTATGTATTCAATTTTGAGTTAAGGACTTCTAAATATCAAAGATATATAGACGATACTTTTTGAGAGTAAAATTATACAATAAATTATCTAGTGTCCGCTATGTTACATTTTAAGTAGGCCCTTACAAAATGACTTGTACTTACATAAGATGCAGGGGCTACAGCATATTTATTAAGACTCTTCAACTCTGTAGGAAACTGGAGCAGTCAGAAGTAATGGTGTCTGCTGAGGGATTCTTTATCATATGAATTTACTTTTAGTCATCTATTATTTATTTCAGCTATTTTATATGCCATTATAATAAATATTATGACAGAGAAAGCTTTTATGCTTCAACTTATTGTACTGCTCTTCACTTCCTTGCAATCCTTCAGGAAAATGTAGCTATGCTTTACCTGTATTTAACGTAAATCATCACTTACATTTGAATGAAAAATTCACTATGAAAAAAGGCTCCTTCTTCAATACCAAGACACAAATGCACAATCATGTTTACTGCCAAACTGCTCTACCATGCAGTGTTCTTTTTAAGCAGTTTTTATATACATTGCATATAGTGAAATTGTTTGCTTTCTGGATGTTTTCACTTTCTCCTTAGTTTCTGGCTCAATAAGCATTTTTTTACCATGAGTGCAAAATACAGCCAATTGCATGTAAGCATTTTTAACATTTTTTTCTCCAATACGGAGCAGCTTGCTTGCAAAACTAAACAAGCTGTTTCCTGGTGTTATTTAGAGTAATGAAACTTAACTCGAAATATTGATAAAATGCATTTAGAATTGGGCATAAAATTGTGAAATACAAGATAATATTTTTTCTTTGCACTTTTCAAAATGTTCTTGTGTTGTGTATAAAAGAGGACTTGTTAGGAACTGGAGAATGATCCACCTTCGGCTGTTTCTTCAAAGGCAGGTTGTTGGTGCCTAGACGTTGTTCGCCTTGAACTGCCCTTTGGGCTTCATGAAATCCCTCATTCTTCTCATCCCAAAATCACTGTTTCGGTTGGTTCTAGGTGACCATGTTTTCACAAGTTTCAGGAGACAGCAGAAGCGTGTCTGCCTCTTGTGTCTGTTCTCCTTTTGGCCAGTTTGCGAAGCTGCTCTGAGTCAAGTTGTGAGAGTGCTTTGGACACAGCTGGGACACTTGTGCTGGAGATCTGCAGCAAGGGCACTGGCTCATTTTGTGCAGACTCTCAACAGCACCATGTAGCAATCATCTGTGATTTAGGAGTGAGCTCTTTAAATAATTCTACACTCATTCTGTTATTTAGTTTCCCCTTAAATGATGTAATTGAAAATCAAGTAGCAGAGGGAGCATTGGTATCTTTTGTTGATTTAATTTTAAAAATTCTGGAGTTTTCTGCCTTAGTGTGTTGGTTTTTCTGATGTCAGTTTTAAGACTGTCTTCTCTATCTGGGAAAGTGACAAGTCCCATTTAAGATTTCAGAACGTAAAGTGAGGCATAATTCACTACTGTAAATATGTGAAGTGAAATGGTGAGAGACATCAGCATAATACAATTATGACACATTAGATCAGGATTTGCAGCATACCATTAACAATCAGTTCTGACTGTGGATTAAAAATGTGTTTTCTTTTTCTATAAATACCACAATACATGCTACCTAGCCATATAGGTAAAGAGCAAAACCATTATAACAAGGGTAATACTGAGCTACTGTAAGAAAACAAACAAAAAACCTTCTACTTGTCATTGATTTGAGATATTCTTACATTATTAAGAACATACCTTGCAATTACATTGCCTTATTCATAGCTTTTTTTAAAAGAGGTTGTAACATAGAAGTAAGAGTGGGAAAATGTGGAATGAAAATGAATTGATACTCAAGGCTTAGCATTTCATGTTCTCAAACTATAGTAAGAGTTGAAGGTCTACAAAGTACCTCTGCGGAGTGAGAGGTGCTTGAATCTCAGTGGACAAGGGAGAGACTGAAAGAGGAAAGTTGGGGAACTTGCTTAAGCTCCCGGTATGTAAACGGATTCCTTCCCCAGCTGCTGTCTGGAGAAAATACTCGCGCCCAGGTGCTTTGCATGCCTTCAGAAGCTGAGGTGGTAGCTTCTGGTCTCGGTGCACTGAATGTCATGAGCTTCCGTTTCTCCTATGAGGAAAACAGGGTGAGTGGGTGTCTCTGTGCTCAGTTTGTACCCTGTGTCTATATGAAGCAAATAGAGACTGTTACTGTCGGGTTTTTAGAAAGCAAAAGGAGGGAGAAAGTTGAAAAAATTTGTATTTTTTCAAAGTTGGAAAAATTTTTGTATTTGCCTTTGCTGACCTGTTCAATGGAAAAAACTACCAAACCCATCCTTTTCTTCCTTTTCCGTCTTTCCTTTTTCAGGTCATTTTAGATACAGCTTCTTGAATTTCTGAACAAATGTTTTCTTTTCTGTAACCGCATATATATCAAAGCTAAAAGAAAAAAGGGTGAAATAGTGTTAAATTGTTTGAAATAAAGTATCTTTCTGGCTGAATAAAATAGAGTATGAATAGAAAGGTGGTCTTATTTCATTGATGAAACTGGTAAAGAAGAAACATAATTATAGTTTGCATTTGCTATCTAACAGTCAACCATTTGTCACTTTCAATAATTTATTTATGATTTTTGAATTTCTGGTTTTTCCATTTTCAATATAGTCATCCACAAATTGAGGCCAATCTTATTCTGTTTAATTTCTGTTTCTGAAAGTATTTTGAAGGCATCATACTTTTTCTTCTGGACTTGAAATGTACGGACACCTCTCTTCTGTTCTCAGAATCAGTAGCAGAAGCCTAACACATGGCATCAACAGGAAAAGCATTACCTGAGTAATACCGTGTGGACTTGAATTTGTGTCCCCAAGAGCATAGAAACTTACAGCTTGTGGCATAGTCTGTTGAATTACTTGATTACTATTTTTTTTGACCCCCCATTATGTCCCTGTATTTGTAGCATGCTTGTCTTTTTACCCTAGGGAGAGACAGAAGAATGTTTCAACTGAGGAAAACAGAAGCAAAATAAACACAACTATGCCCACTACTTCTCGATTAAGCAAACAACTTTGAACTGCAAAGTTGAAGAGAAGTTGTTACGGAGCTCTGTTGCATAATGCGAGGCAGCATCGCCTTTCTCAAGTTCCTGACCATCAAACAGAAGAAAATATTTAGCCAGTGGGGCAACATGAATTCCAGAACGATGTACATCTTGTGAGGGTAGAAAACCTCTTTGTAAAAGTTGGGTTTAGCATTTTCAGACTCCATCAAATGGTACTTCCTGATGAAAACTGAACCTGTTGAAATTTCAGTTGTATTTATTTTGCTGTCCTGAGAAGTCTGGCTAGAGTGGGACAAAGGGATTTGAGTGACGTTCTGTTTAAACCCAACCTATAAGGTGATGTTAGCGGGCAGAATGGGTACTAGCAAAGTAGAAAATGGATGTAGGGAGAAGAGTATCAGATGTAATGAAACATGGAGGTCGGATGAATTGCTTGAACTTGGGAGACAAGAGGAGCACTCTTCTTGGTTTCCTTCTGTGCTAACCCCCATGCTGCTTCCATTTTGTTCTTCCAGAAATGCTCGTTGTAAAACTTTGTAATCACAGCAGATCCCCCATTGCACCGTGGTGCTAAAAAAGCTCTTGTTGCCTTGCTACTCAAATGCTGCCTTGTATTGCAGAGTACCACTGTATCTGCTCCATTTTTTTTTTACTCCTTCTTTTAGCAGGGCTAATGTCCAGTATGAACCATAGCCATTATTCATAGGTGTAGGTAACGTGTTGGAATTACGTGAAGTGTCGCTCTAATTTCTTTTTTCCTGTGTAAGCTAAGCAGAGTAGACTGAAAGTTGGCGTGTTTAGGTTTGGGGAGAGTGTAGGGCTTTTGCCAGCTTTCTTTTATGTATGAGAGCGTTTACATGGTGTTGGGCAGCAATGAGTATAAAAGTGAGGGTGAGCACACATAGACATGTTCATAATTCCTTTGGATATCTATGTGACTTGTATGTCATGACGGCTGGTATTTTGTAGAGGATCATAGGTGTCCTAAAGTATAGCGTTTGTGGAAGAACTAAAGATAGCCATTTGATGTTGCAGTGCAGGCACACAGCTGCAGTCCAGTGAAAGCCAGTTCGCAAGTGTGGCTTGGAAGAGCCACCATCCCCTGGATTCTGGGATGACTTGCACTTTAGTGGTTGCAATGAAAATAGACTTTTGGTTCATTTTGTTCTGAGATTTGGAGTTACGTGTTTCAAAAGATCTGAGAACAGGGATCTTAAAGCTGAAAATACTGAGAAGAGTTGTTTTGGTGGTGCTGAAGGTTAGCACCTTCAGGTTAAGCTGTTGTTCTGTGGGATTGCATGTCCTCTCCTAGGTGAAAAGTTGTTTTTAAGTACTCACACAATTTCTTTAGAAGATATTATGCACTGGTAAACTCTTATTGTATGAAAAATTGTAGGCTGATCAGTTATTTTCTATACTAATTTTATACTGTTTTTTACATCACCTTCTGTGAACAATAGATTGATTTGGATTAATATGTGCAAATTCGAATTTATCTGGTTTTTACAGGGTATTGGCTGATTATTTTTCTGTTGGTATGCTATGTAAAAAATACCATGCGTTAAGACTAATGCTTACTCTACTTTTTATTCCATGAGTTACAGAAATTTCACTAGCTAAATGGAAGAAAAAAGATACCGTATTAACCTTAGCACTACGTTGTGTCAATTCATTGTATTCTATAAAGCTGTATGTTACATAGTGTACGTTTTTAGCAGAACCACAAAATTACAATGCTACTTCTGGCACTAAATGTTGTGCTTGTCCATTCTTTTTGATGATTTGTGTTCACTTTGGGGTTATAATGTTAAACAAGGGAATCGAACAAGTTTCATAACACACTTACTGTTACATGACACTGTGAACTAAACTTGCTGTTACTTATCTTTTCTTATATTTTCTCATGTTCCAGCATAAAGCCAAGGTAGAATCAATGACCTTAGACCTTGCTTCTCTTCAGAGTGTGCAGCACTTTGCTGAAGCATTCAAATCCAAGAACGTGTAAGTACTCAGAAAATTACATGTAATAATTTCTTGTTATTTTAATGTCTTTATCAGCTGAGCACAGTTGGCAGAATTCACCATAGCTAGACTGATCAGTAACTACAGTTAGTGAATAATCTTTTCAAAGGATTTTTTTTTTTAATGTAAATTAAAGATCATTTGTTTTCATCTTAAAAAAATAATTACAGATCTCTTATTATTCCATGCGTAGCCCCAGCTTTAAAGGGGGTGTTGATACCGCTGTGGCTGTTGAAAAGGCCAAAGCTGAACTGCATAAAACACAGATCAGGCAACTTTTATCAGTTTTACCAGGGTTTGGAAGAGGTCAGGGATGAGCAATTAGTGCACTCCTTCTCTTGCTTTCTTTTCTTTCTCTCTCTTTCTCTTTTTATTTTTATAGCATTTAAAAAAAATAGCCCTATGAGCCAGACAGCTCCATTTTCCAGACCTGTATCTAGAATAGTCCATAGTTAAAAAAAAAAAAAAAAAGAAAAGAAAAAGGGGAAGAGGGGGTGGTAATGACATCACTTAACAATAGACAAATTTATATGGAGATAATCAGGTTAGCTTCCAAATGGTTTGTTTAATTTGGCTTGAACATTAAATTAAAGAAATGATTTGAAATCTTGAAGTGCCAGCTCTTGACAATAAATTCCACACTTTGTGCTTTTATCCAGAGTTTGACCCATCGATTGTTGTGACTATTCAAACTTAGCTTTTTTCTTCAAATATTTCTGTAACACATATACATCTTACTGTACTTCTCAAGAGAATATGGCCTCTTAGACAGCTTTGAAAATATGTCGTCGTAGGGAAAATATATAAAAAAGAATGTTTTTTCACTTTTGAAATACTGCCAAAGCTAAATCTCACGTCGATGGACAGATGACATTTTAGTACTTATAGGTCTTTTAGATTCAAAGAATTGTCAAAACTGACTTCTAATACAAGTTCCTTTACTGCCAAATCCTTGGTAACAATATTTTCTTATCTTATATCATCTTCATATATTAAAACTTTCTTGAAATAGAAAGACAAATCCTTGCAGTATTGCTGCTTTAGTATGAACTCCGTTTCATAATATAAGAACAGTCAGTGTTTTAGTTTAGCTTCTTCATACTTTTACTATGCTATAGTTCTTTAAAAACTGTATGGTACAGTGAAAAGTTAAAACCACCCTTCTTCCAAATGCAGAGCTTAACTTGATTTGTGTATTGCAGATCATATCATGGTCATCCCAGCTAGACCATTTGGTATGCATGTTTGTAAATCCTTTATAAGTGAACGTGCTTAGATGAATTTTTGCCAGAGAACTTAGAAAATGAGAAGATATAGGATCAGCAAAGATATAGAATCAGTAAAACCTGTTTCACATTTGTTGGCATACATTGTTTTACCAGTATAGGTCTGTTAAGCTACACTGCCAGTGATGGACAGGTTTTACTAATCTTTCATTTTCTTTGAAAAAATTTTAGTAACAGACAGCATTTATAGCCTCTGTCTTGCCTTCAGATATTTCTGTCTCTAATCTGTGCTCAGACGTGTGTGTGTCTGGCAAGACTATGCCAAGCATTGCAGGAAAGTCTAAGGTCTGTAGCTGTTGTGAGAATGAAATGAATTTCCAGTTATATTTTGTTTAAAGTCTGAGGCTGGATGGAAACCAGACCCCACACACTGCCTGTAGCCATAGATCTTTTATCTAATACAGATACAGAAGAGTTACCTTACAGTCATCTGCACTGGCAGGAGAATGGACTGGAAGACCTAGTAGGTCTTTCTGGCTCTGATTTTTTGTCATTTAACTATGTCTGGATGTGGTCAAAAAAGCAATTATTTGGCAGTAGCATCTTATTACTACAATGCTAGCCCGACGTGTTTTCCAGCCCTAATGTACACTAACTACTTTTGTCTCGTTATTTGTTTTGTTGTAGTGTCCAGAGGCTTTTGTCAGATCAGTGATTTCTTTGCATTAATAGCTTTATGAGCAGTTGAAAGAAATCTTACAGGCTTCAGTGACAGACTGAGTCTTGTTCTTTATGCTTTGGCAAGTCTGTTAGCTGGTAGTCTAACTTTCTTAAAAGGCTTTGGTGTCTCTGATTTCATGCGCCTGTAGGAGAAGGCATGCTGTGATACACTCTCCCCGGTTCTTATGAGGTAGCTGTTAAGTCCTATTAATGAGCATAGGAAATACATTATGAGTATTGAACTTTCTTTCTTAGGAATTGCTTAACAATAAAGTATTAGGAAAATCAAACGAAGTGTTTGGTTCTTTTTCTAAACAAAACTATCCTTTGAGTTCTGAGTTGTATAGATCTTAGTTTCTGAGGAAGAAACTGCAATAATTTTAAAGTGTGAAAGAAATTTTATGAATGCACACATTTTAATAAAGATCTCTTTTTATTTCTCACAACTTTTTATGTGAAGAGGCTTTTAGTATTCAGTGGTGAACATCTTAAACTTCTGGGTGCAGATAGTCTGATTGTCTGTTTAATTTCTCCAGTCTACTATTGCTTTCTGGGACACTTCGATATTCTACAGAATCTGTTGGTCTTGGTGACACCTGAACTAATAACTGAAAATCTATGAAATGGAGAATAAGTTTACTTGTCTTTTGAAATTCTGCTTTTCTGTGACACTTCATGGCTTTAGGTACTATTTTTTGTCGACAGATCTAAGGGTGTACTCATAGTCACGTCACAGCCTGGGAGCCTGTTCTTTCCTGGTTGATAGCAGTTGGCAATGAGTCTTCAAGGACTGTTTCACAGGTCTTTTTCTGGATGAAAAAGCTAAAATGGAACTACGCCAGATAAGGGATCCTGAAATTTCATTGAGTGAAAACATCAAAACCGATTGTGGCTGGGAAAGGTGACGCTGGTGAGGTTGTAGGGAACAGAGGGAAAATTGCTGAGATTGTGAATCTCCTGCCTTAATCAAATAACTTGCAGAGTAAAAAAAAAAAGCCTTCTTGTATGTGCTTCAGAAAACAAATGATGCAACAGAGGGAGCATTGAGAAAAACATAAATAATAAATGGGAGGAAAGAGTTACTTTAGAAAGAAACATTTAAGATAAATTGGAGTAGTACTTAAGAGCCATGAAGGCTTCCTTGTTTGAAAGTAAAAATCAGATGATTCATCTTCAAGTTATCATGCTTCTAAGAGATTTGATAGGGATCTTTTATTCCTGTTTGGATTTGTGCAGTATTGCAGCCTTGTCCACAGATAAAATTTGGGCTCAGAGTATATCAACACTAGTAAATTATCCTGTATTCCTACAAGTATATTCTAGAAGATCCTTCATCCTCACAGAAAAAAATATTTTTTTTAATTGTTTGCAGTACCTCTACTCTTGACTTGATACAGCTGCTTCTGAGACTTTTTTTTAATCCATGCAATTTCAAATAAAGCTTTGGGGGAAGAGGGGTTTTGCAAGTTATTTTACATCCTGCGGTTCTGTGATCTCAGCTGAATATAAACTTCCCTTACGAGCAGGACAGTGCCCTCCAGTCTTTCTTGCTCTCACAAAGATTCTCTGGGCAGAATAAGCTAAACGTGATAACTTACTTGGATCTCCCAAAGACAGCTTTTCCCAAAGACAGAATAAAACAATATTGCTGTTGAATGTCTGATCTACCAGATCATTTACGGTCTATTAGGATGAGAGTAGGAGAAGAGGTGTCGGTGCACCTAAATGGCTAGATTTGCTCAAGTTGCTTCTTTTATCTGTATCTAGCCTTTCCTCTCTGCTAGTTTCCAGCTCAGGCAATTGATGGAATGCCTCTGTTATAGCAAATCAAATAAATGATCTGTTTATAATAATGTTCTGGGCTAAGGTGGATTTGGCATTAGCTGATTTCCGTGCAATTGGAAGAGGCAGACCAACCAATCTTTCCTTTTAGGCTTTTGGAACTGAAAAACACTGAATTGAATCTCCTCTTCATTGAGTGGGCACAATGTGAGGAATTATGGTTGGTATTAATCCACTTTATAGGCAAAATGACTGCCCTCCTGTGATTGTATGCAACGTAGCATTTAAATTTAGTCAGTATTTGATAGTTCAGGCTCTGTAGGATTTGGTACTTGTGTAGGAGTGTGGATTTGTAGATGTGATGCCTTGGTATCTATTTCCCAGTTTAATCATCATATATTTGACTAAAACCTGCATATTTTAGTTGGGGAACAGCATTAATGTTTCAGTTCTAAAATTTCCAGGTTAGCTACCTCGTGTCAATATTTACAGTCGTAACATCATGGCATTTGCCTGATTCTCAACATAAGAACACTTCCATGATCAAAACATTAGCAGGCAGAACTAAGTAGTAAAGTTACAGATGAAATTTTACATGCATCTTTAGTTTTGAGTGGTGCATTGTGCCACTTGTTTTGAATTAGAGTTCTCTTCAGCCAAACAGTAAGACATCAATTTAATGTTCTCAGTGTTTGAGGGAAAAAAATGAAAGTATCCTGAAAAATCTTGAATTACTTCAAAGATATAAAATAGTGTTTGCCAACAGGTACTACTTAGAATTTTCTGAATTGGTAGCAGCAATTCACAATTATGCAGGACTTCCGTATGTAGATTTTTACTGCATTTTTTTTTCCTATATGGAAAATAGGACTTTTTTTGTGGTAAGAATTGGCATATGCTAACAGTTTATTCGCTTATGCTGTGTGTAGAAATATGGAAAAAACAGCAGTTATGAATTATGATTCTCCATTTGGAAATTTAGTCTCATTTCCCTAACCAGACTCAAAATGGAGAGGGCCAGATTTTCAGCTGGCTTCCTTAACCGAGGCCTCAAACTCTATGAATACATTCATTTTTCATGCTGCAAGCAGAAGCACTCTGAAATCTTGTGGGTGCAATTAAGATTTCAGAGCCTGCTGAAAATTCACTCCAGAATACTGTTTTTCTGCCTTTTCCTGTATTATAACTGACATATTGCATGTGTGTTAAGTTGTTTTTTAATTCCAATTTAACCACAATTAAATCTCAGAC